TATTGATCAATTGCTGCCATTATGTTTGTTTTTTTGTGGTGTTGCTGCTTTCTTTGCTCTGTGTGTCTTCCTTTGTTGAGTTCATGCTTATTGTGTTCTTTCTTGTGAGTTTCCTTATAGTTTTAATGTTTCCATGTTCTTGGATTTTCATTCTCTTGGTATGTTGTGTAGTGTTGATTTTCTTTGAGGTTGCCTTATAGTCCATTAACTTTTCTCTCCATTTAGTGCAGTCTATTTTATCCTGTAATCTACCTGACGTTCTCACCATCTGGATCTCTGTTCCTATGTGTTTACCTTCTTTTACATTGTACTTGTTTTGATCATAGACTGACCTCCCAGATTCTCTGTGTTTGTTCTTACAGTTTTGTTCTGTTCTCAACTCTTCCTTCTGTCGATTTAATTCTGGGAGGTGCTGCCATGTATGTCAATCTCTGGTTGTTGTCTGTTCTTGTTGGTTCTCAGTCCAAGAACTCCTTTTAGGATGTTTTGTAGCTCAGGATGGCTTTGACAAAATCCCTTAGCTTCTGTTTATCCTGGAATGTTTTGATTACACTGTCATAATTGATTGATAGCTTTGCTGGACAAAGGATTCTTGGTTGGCAATTTTTTTTCTTTCAGGGTTTTATATATGTTTCCCCATTGCCTTCTTGCTTGCATGGTTTCTGCTGAGAGATCTGAGCTTAATCTGACTTGTTTGCCTTTGTATGTGACACTTCTGTTTTCCCTAGCTGCTTTCAGCAGTGTATCTTTATCTTTGATTTTGGAGAGCTTGATTATGATATGTCTCAGTGATTTTCTTTTGGGGATCTATTCTTCTTGGGGTTCGTTGAGCTTCTTGAATGTTTATCTTTTCACTTTTCAGGATGGTAGAGATATTTTCTTCCAGCAGTTCTTCAACTATTTCCTCTGTGAACTTGTGTGATTCTTCTTGTTCTGGAATGCCAATAATTCTTAAGTTATTCCTCTTCATATTGTCCAACATGAATCTTAAACCTTCTTCTGATTTTTTTATCCTTTTTTTCCTGTTTGTTCTTCTATGTTTGTGGTATTGAGAGATTTGTCTTCCAGCTCACTGGTTCTGCCTTCCATCTCGTCTATTCTACTCCTTTGCCCTTTCAGAGTATTTTCTATTTCTGATATTCTGTTATTGATCATTTGGACATCTTTCTGTAGGTTTTGAATTGTTTCCAATACTGTATCTATCTTATTTGATTGTTCCTGTAGCACTTTCCTGACTTCTTCCTTATTTTTCTCAACTCCACTGTAAAGTGTTATGAAACATTTTATAATCATTTTTCTGAATTCCTTCTCAGGCATTTCCAAGGCCTGTCCTTGGATAGTCCAGGACAATCTCTAAGTCATTTGTCTCAGACATTTTATCTTGTTTCTGGACATGTGCTGATATGGTCATCTGCTTTTGCTTCTTGGACATGTTTAGTGTTTATCTGTGGCTTTACTACTTAATTGAGTATGTGTTTTGGTATTTTTTATGCTTTCTGATTGCTTCCAGGAAGATGTGATCAGGATGTGGGCTTCCCTTT